TTCAAGATTGCGCTTATTTTGCAAGACGTGGAGCACAGACGCATGCTGCAATGGGCAAAGAATGGCCCTTTTCATTTTAGAGTGTAGGTAAAATGGTTTCTCTTGATTTGACCTGACATTTGTAGAGCAGATAGTCCATGCCCACCCCCGGACGCTACCCATACAGAGAGATTGCCTAGAGAGCACGTCTGCTTTCCTCAGATTCATTCGGCAAACAAGTAAAGGGAGCTCTGGCGCCTGCGAGACTAGGGGTAGGCAAGCCCTCTGTACACGCATGCACTGCAGGCGAGATGTTGCCTACCTATTAGGCGCTATTAGCTCTCTTCCCTTCACGACACTTCTGTTTGTAGCTACAACGCTACAACTGTGTAGCGCTGTGGCTGTGGGCGCCCGGGGGGGGGGGGGGGGGGCAATCAGTACGCTACTTGTCTCTGTTTGGTGGGGGCTGCAGCCCCGCACCCCATAGTATTTGTCATAGTAGTTGCGTCCGGGGATTTCGGCTTGTCAGGGATTATAATCTGCAGAGCGAGGACTTGGCTTCTGCTGACACCCTGGGGGCGTCTGATATCATGTTGCCCCCGAAGACAAATCTTCTATAATAGTCGGGTCGGATTAAGCTGAATCTGGCCGCAGGATTTGTGGCCATATTTTTGTTGCTACATTTTTGTGGCCACAAACAGGGACGTTAATTTACGGCGCCGACATGGCGCCGAGCGGACTCACTTTGTCTTTGGTCTGCAGTCGATTCGTGTGAAGCTGCCCGCAGCTGCCCGTGGCCGTGTCGGTTGTGGCCACAGCTGTGTAGCTACAAACAGGGTCGTCTTGCACTCATGCCCATGGCCAGCGGAGTACAAACACTAATCTGCGAGCGGAACAGCATTCAAACCTCCGATCACCCTCTTCCAAGTCGGCGCCCGCACGAGTAGGTTCAAAACATGCCTGCGGAACAAACTTCCGTTGCTACAAACCTCCATGGCTCGGTAGATTCTGGTCGACGTGGAACGTCGAAAGGACGTTGATTTTATTTATTTGTTGTGACTATGAGCATTTAAATCGTCGTCCTGCCCTGGTCTTCTGACTGGGTCCGCCGTGGGATAGGCAGCCCAACATGCACTCCCACCGGGGAAGGGGGAAAGAGAGCGGCTACGGCTGGCAGGCGTGAGGCTGATTTGATTACTGCCGCTGCATTTGGTTCCGCAAAACTTATGCGGTTGCGAAATCTGAACGCATCGCTTTCTATGTTACGTACACCGACCGACGAGAATTCAAAATACTTCTTTACCGACGGCGAAAAAACTAACCAAACCCCAAAGCCATAATATCTATAGAAACCAACGTCGAACCAGAGCGACCGCAGCGCCTCTAGCGGTTACCGGATGTCTCTCAGGTCATCCAAATCCAGTTCTACCTTTCTGCTCATCTGTACTGCTCCATGATATCAACCCCACGTTACTCTGTCCACACCTGCTGCGCCCTCTGTTTTCGATTCGTGTTTCGACGCCGAAGAGAACGGTCACTGGCCGTTATTGATCCGGGGTCAACTTGGATTATTGGTAAGTATTGCCCTGGTCCTGGGCCCCCCTAAATCCACTGGAAGCCTTGTTGACTTTCGATTTTTGAGGTTAGGTCTGTTTGTTTTGTACTCTAGACGTGCAAGTAGGCTCGGACGGAATACCCAAGGGCAAGTCGAGGGAAGATGCTGACTCGACGTAAACATGCATTGATGCTCTTAGAATCCCCGAAGGACCCAATCGAGGAAATGGTAATACTAAAACATCTCTTGTAATCCACACACTCAGGCAACCTAATTTTGTTCTGTAGATTGGAATCCCTTAACGTAACCCTAGTCCTAGTCATACAAAACTATAGTCTATACATGAAGTGCAGGGTTTTTGTGCCCACCCCCTCTCTCTTTCATGCACCTAAAACTTAGCTTAGCGCTTTTAAAACGTAAAATAATAACCGAGGGGGCAATAACTCCCTTTTAAAGTGTACACATGATTCCCGAAATCCTTGATTCCTAGTGATTCCCGTCCACTTATGTTTATTTCTTAGGTTTTCTAGGGGTAGAAAACGCTTATTTCGACTAATTTGTACGAGCTCCACTAGTTTCCCGCTTATTTTAAGCGATTTCTGTTGATTTTGATTAATTTCTATCCTGATGTTCCCCAGGCAGGTGTACACATGATTCCCGGAGTTATTGCCCCCTCGATAATAACCCTGTTTGGCTCTTTAGCTCTGTAACAGCCCCTGTTTGATTCAGACGCTCCTGTCTCTGCACGACGGGGCGCTGCTGGAGGTGCTGTCCCGCCTGTCGGGCGCGGACCTGTGCGCCGCGGGCCTGGCCAGCCCCCGGCTGCGCGCGCTCACCAGGACCCACACGTCGCTGTGGCGGGGCAAGAGGTACTCGGGTGCCGACTCGCACGTCAAGGACGTCGACGGCCTCGTGGACCTGTTGCGGGTCGCCCCGCGCGTCACCCGACTGCAGTTTGAAATACGCGACGACGAGTACGCAGCACATTTCGACAACTTGGCCAGGTAGGGTAGGGTGCCCTGCCCAGCCAAACCCCCGGTGGGGCTGTTTTCGCTTCAACTGCGTCGATGTATAAAGTGCACATTAATCGTTGTTTGATCACTTTCCCTGCAGGCAGTCGAGGTCGCTGACGGTGGCGTGCCCCAGCGCAGAGTGCTGCGCCACGCTCATCGAGGAGGTCGGGACCCGGCTCAAGCGTCTGACCATCCACTCCGGCCTGAGGTGCGGGCTGGGGTCGATCCTGTCCAGCCTGAGGCACACCCCCTCCCTCGTGGAACTGGCGGTGTACATGGACTCCTACTTGGAGAGATGCGACTTCAGATGGCCGCAGGTGTGTACACGTGAGGGTGTGAAGCCTCGCCCCGGAGATCGGAGAGCTCCCTGAGAACAACCGGAAACGCCCTCTAAATCGACTGAAACAGGGTGAGGGGGGTAGTGGGAGGACGAATGTGGAGCGTTCTCAGGGAGCTCTCCGATCACCCTCCAGACGCACTCTGAAGTTGTACCGTCTTTATAAAGGCAATGCACCACAGTGTTGCGGATTTGCCTATCCGAGCTACCCGTAAGGCGCCATAGCTCCTTGTGTATGCAAACCCGCAACACTGGGGGGTGTTAGCCTTTTACAGTCGGTACTGTACCCGACTGTAGCTCGTCACGGTCGTCTCGGCGGGTTGCCTACCCGCTTGGAGGCTGAAGGCCTCTGCCCGCACGCCGCCAGGTTGTTCTGTACCGTGTCAGGACACGGCAGTGAAGCGCTCGTCTTTTTCGCCCGGCTCTCTGGGGAAACATTACACAGACATTGCTCCTGACATCCTAACCTCCCATCTTCTGTCCGCAGTCACTGGTGCTGTCCCAACTCCGCAACGTGGTGTTGAGATTTGGAGTGGACGAATTCGCCGATCTAGGCATTCTGTACTTTATTGTCGAGCCTCACCCCACCCTGCTCGAGGCATTACGCTCGCTTCTGCTGGCACACAGGTAAAGAACCATCAACCATTTCACGCGCACCCGGCACGACAAAGAGAGACACCTCGGAGAGTTGTCGGAGAGTTCGTCTCTTTCGACGAGCCGAGTTGCCACTGGAGCAAAGTAGAGCTGGCCGCTACTCGACTCTGTTTAACGGGGAGGAGCAGGTCTAGCTTGAGGGCTGCGGATGAAATGGCATTTTCCTAGTCGAACTGAACCCGGCGGTGCTTGCAGGCGACAGCTGCTCCACGTCCAGCTGTTCACGTCGCATCTGCTGCCTCTTCTCGACTCCTGCCCCAGTCGACTCGAACGACTGACCGTGCTCGTGGACTTGGCTGGCGGCGGGGCCGAGGGCGCCGCGGGACTGCGGCGAATGCGTGGGCTCAAGCACCTCGCCGTCATGCTGACCGACGACGACCCGGTGCGTGCGACAAGTCGCCCGTACCCTGACCACTTGCTCACTTTTTTTTTTTTTCGTTTCCCCTCGCCGACCTAGTGCCGTTCCCGCCGTTCCCTACTGTCTTGTTTTCTCTGTCGGTTTCAGGCTATACTGGAGGAAACGTTGAGGTACTGTCGGTGCGCGCTGGAAGGGCTCAGCGTTGCGGGCTGCAATGACGAGATGCTGCGAGCCTTGGGGAGGATGGGACTCGCCAGCGTGAAGCATCTCGAACTGCTCACCGGCCTCTTTCAGGAGCCGTGGGGCGTTGAGTCGCTGGACGTGGCGCTGGCCGGCCTGCCGAACCTCGTCTACCTCACTGTCGTCCGCCTGCTGAACGTGCGGCCGTTCGAGTTGCTCCGCCACCTCTCCGCCGCCTCCATCCCGAATCTCTGCCTCATCGTCTTTCCAGACAATTTCAACGCCGCCGCGTCTTACTCACCGACCGACTACCCTGGTTTTGGAGGTAAATAGACGGCTGCGGATGTACGCATCTAAAGAAGAAGTGAGGAAATCGACACCGGAACCAGTACTGAAATAACGACTGAAACCAGTGCAAGTTTACTTTCACATTTACTAGGAAGTTGTTGAAGGTTATTTATGTCAAACTGCCCCGTAAAAAAATGAAAGTTAGTGAATTGTTCGTACTGGTTCTCTGCTGTTTTCCTTATTTCTCCTCGTAAGACTGCATCCCTTTCCCCATGATTTCGCCCGTCGAGCGACTGACTGATGCGCCCTGACTTTGTCCTGCGCAGACTGCCACGACTTGGTGCGCCGCGCCCCAAAGCAGCTTCACGTGGCCGTCAAACTGGAGGGCGACAGGCGCATCCTGTTCTTCAGGCACTCCGTCGCCAAGTCTGCTGTCGCGGTGTGTCAAGTGTGCGCCGAAACCGAAGATGATGAGATTGATGGGAAAGTATTCATTGACCAGTATGTCCAGGTTCAGTGAATAAATCTGTGTTCTCAGCAAGAATAGTCGTGCTCGTTATAACTTTATTTAAAACCTTACCAACTAAACAACTATAGCAAAGGGTCTCGTCTCGTGCGGCAAAGTCACACTTCGGAGACGTTCATTTATTTTATTTAATGACATTGACCTCGTTCCATAGACTCCTGACTATCGTTATATCGGCGACCCGCCCTCTCCCCTCCCCCTCTCGTCTGTAGTGAGC